GTGAGACTCTGTCTCTACAAAAAAAAAAAAGAAAAAGAACAAAATAGCCAGGTGTTGTGGTGGGTGCCTATAGTCTCAGCTACTTGGGAAGCTGAGGCAACAGAATCACGTAAGCCCAAGCATTTGAGGTTGCTGTGAGCTGTGACACCACAGCACTCTACCAAGGGCAACATAGTGAGACTCTGTCTCAGGAAAAAAAAAGCTGTCCTGTAGGTAAAACTTACCTTGATGACAAAAGTTGAGACTGTGTGAGAGCAGAGGGGTGTGTGAGATGCTTTTCCATTCTTATTAGGACCTTGCTGGTCATTTGACCTACTCACCAGGTCATCCAGTGTGAAAACCAAGAAACCAGAGATATGAGGTAGGCACTCAGCAGGTTCTCCACCACCCCCACCCCCCCGCCTTGCAGATGTGAAGAAGCTGTTGTTTTAGGACCCACCAATGCAAGTCCTTCTTTGCCAAATAGGTAGAGGCTTGTTCTTGTCACCCTGCCAAGTGGGTGGAAGAGTCATCTGTGGTCAGACAGTGGGGAAAAAATCATAAATTGATAGAGAACCCACCATGACCTGCCCTAGAAAGTTGTGATGTTCATATCCAAAAAGACTGTCAACATTTATAAGAAATAAAACAAAGTGTTTCTGTTAGAATCTCAAGGTAATCAATAAGAATATTAAGACCCTGATAGAATTTCAGTAGATTCTCAAAAAAGAGGAAGTAAATTCAGCTAGTTAAAAAGTGGAACAATATTCATCCTCCCTGCTAGTCATAAGAGTGTGCCTTGGCCAAGCATGGTGGCTCCCACCTGTAATCCTGTTGCTCTGTCAGGCCAAGTTAGAGGATTGTTTGAGCCCAGGAGTTCAAGACCAGTCTGAGCAACATAGCAAAACTTCATCTCTACAGAAAATAAAGAAGTATTATCTGGGCCTGGTGGCACATTCCAGTACTCCTAGCTACTCAGAAGGCTGAGGTGGAGGGTGGAAGGATCACTTGAGCCCCAAAAGTTCAGGGTTACAGTGAGCTATGATCACACCACTGCATTCCAGCCTAGACGACAGAGTAAAACTCTATCTCTATAAAAGAAAAAAAATGTTTAGCTTTAAATGAGTTTTGGGGTCCTGGTATAGTGGCACTCTGGGAGTCTGAGGCAGGTGGATTGCCTGAACTGAGGAGTTTGAGACCAGCCTGAGCAAGTTCGAGACCCTGTGTAAAAATAGCTGGGCATTGTGGCAGGCACCTGTAGTCCCACCCACTTGGGAAGCTGAAGCAAGAGGATCACTTGAGCCCAAGAATTTGAGCTTGGCTGTGAGCTATGATACCATGGCACTCTACCAAGGGTGACAAAGTGACACCTTGTCTCAAAAAATAAAATAAAAATTAGTTTTGGGGCTAATCATAGTAGCAAATTATATCTATATTTTCTCTCTGTTTTTGAGTATATAGCTATTAACTTCTAAAAGTAGATATTTTTTTTTTCGTAGAGACAGAGTCTTACTTTATTGCCCTGGGTAGAGTGCCATGGCATCACACTGCTCACAGCAACCTCCAACTCCTGGACTCAGGTGATGCTCTTGCCTCAGCCTCCTGAGCAGCTGGGACTACAGGTGTCTGCTACAATGCCCTGCTATTTTTTTGTTGCAGTTTGGCCGGGGTTGGGTTTGAACCCACCACCCTTGGCATATGGGGCCGGCACCCTACCCACTGAGCCACAGGTGCCACCCAATAGATAATTTTAATGATAGCAAAGATTTTTTGCTGGCAAAGATGTGATAAAATAAGTGCTCCTATTAACTGATGTGGAAATTAGAGAACACACGGCACATGTTAGCAAAAGACTGAGCACAGCTGCTCTTGCGGACTTAGCAGGCAGGGAATCAGATGCAGATACTGACAAGACTGCACGCTGAAGGTTCACAAAGTGATAAATGGGAGACGGCCAAGTGGAAGGAGAGGTAAGATGTGTAGGCAGATGTTTAACAACATAAGGGGACACTATTTACTGTTAAGTGGGCCAAGAAAAGATAAAGATGTGTATGTACATTAGTCACACTTACATATATGTGTGATGTTACAAACATGCAGAAAAACCCAGAAAGAAATATATACTAATGGTGGACAGTAATCATCTGAGGTCTTTGTGTGTGCCGGGTGGGTTGCATGCTGACACAGCTCAGTGAATCCTCATCATCTGCCAAAGCAGATGTGGTTTATGAAGGAGGAAGAGGCTGAGATGCACAAGGGGGGCCTCTACTTTGCCTGTGGTCACACAGACACAGGGCACAGGGCCCCAGTTTTAAAACTAGATCACTTGAGTCCTCAGCTCTCCTGTGGCCACTTTGCTGTATGCTCTCTCCCAAAGTGTTTAATATTCTCACCCAGAGGCTGAACAGAAATAGACTTACTATTTTTACAACACAGAAAACTTAAAGTGGCTAAGGACCTGTACTAGGGTGGAAAGGCAACTGACAAATCATTATATACCTTTTGCTCTTTTAAAAATATTTTACCAGGGTGGCACCTGTGGCTCAGTGAGTAGGGTGCCAGCCCCATATACCGAGGGTGGCAAGTTTGAACTCGGCCCTGGCCAAACTGCAACAAAAAAACAGCCAGGTGTTGTGGCAGGCACCTGTAGTTCCCAGCTACTCAGGAGGCTGAGGCAAGAGAATCGCCTAAGCCTAAGAGCTGGAGGTTGCTGTGAGCTGTGACGCCAGGGCACTCTACCAAGGGCAACAAAGACTCTGTCTCTAAAAAAAAAAAAAAATTTTACCAGGCTGAGCAAGAGAGAGACTCCCTCTCTACTAAAAACAACACTTACAGTCCCAGCTACTCAGGAAACTTAAGTCAGGAGGATCACTTGAG